CGAAGGAACCAGGCCAGATTTTGATCGCCGCTCCAGGGTAGCGCCGCCCAGGCTTGGTGGCCGGAGTACTCAACAATATGTTGGCGGAGTTTCAATGACAAAGCCAAGATGCTGACACTGTCGCACCTCTGAACATTGAGCCAGGGCTATTTAATATCAAGGTCTGGTATTTCTCGCGGAAGCGAATGTATCATTGCCAGCAGATCACAACGATGCCACAAAGATACCACTGTACAGTTACGGAGAGTTCGTGCCGCCATTGCGTCAGTGTGGCACATTGGCCGAGACTATGTCCCATTTCCATCAGCACTGCACAGCGTCCCTGACTTTGATGTGAGCTTTACGCCTTGCCATTTGGCTTGTACTTCACTGCTGCCGCTTTTGACCTCTATTGAGGCATCCGAATTTGGCCGTCCAATCTCAGAGTGGGCCATTTCATGCCTGTAAGGATAATGCTGCTGCTTGCCCAACGGCCCCACCCAGCGCTACGGCTGGAACACCCCGCAAAATTCCTACAGTAACAGCCGGCGTGCACAGAGCAAAGAGCAAAACCGGAGCCGCGATCTAAGTGGCTAATTGCCATGCGGCTGATCTGGAAAGCAAAAAATGGCTGTACGCAAGTCACTCGAACTGCAACATAGCTGTTCCTACCGTACCTGTACAGTACATACAGTACCGAGCACGATAAACTTAGACTTTCGCGGAGGACATCGGCAGTGCAGCAGAAAATGGACAGACGCTGGTAAGTACCCACGGTCATGAACTCTCCCTGCCAAATTGGACAGAAAGCTGCGCCTGCCAATATAATGTTAAATAGTGTGCGACCAGAATATTTCTACACGGACGTACGCAAATTCTCTCACTACTGGTCTTGGAGACGACCATGGAGATGACCGATAATACTGCGGACAGACCGGCAGAGGTAATTCATCCTCGACCGGCAACTCACCCTGCACTGGTCGCCTCCGCACCCGGCACCTACTCAACACTGAATGACCAGCGAACAGTTTTGGATGCATGTGGTGTCTCTATGATCGGCCACGGCGATGAGACTGTCAAGTTTGCTATACAAGAACAGCTACAAAAAGTTGCCTACGCTCATCCCTTCATGCACACAACGTCTCCCCCCCAAGACTTGGCATCCTTCCTATGTCAGGGAATCCCTTCTCTGGAGCCATTTAAAGTATACTTCTCGAGTTCAGAAAGCGAGGCTGTTGACTCTGCCATGAAGCTCGTGGTGGCATTCCATCGCGCCAACAATAATCCTCGGCGTACGCACTTCGTGTCGAGACAAAGATCGTATCACGGAAACACTCTTGGTTCGATGTGCCTGGGCGACTTCCCGCGTCGCAAACAGCCTTATGATGAAGCTTTTAACAGGCTAGATGTCAGCTTTGTCAGCCCTGCGTATGCCTATCGTCAGCAGGGGAGTGACGAGAGCGAGGTACAGTATTCTAACAGATTGATCAACGAAATTGAAGCAGAGTTTTGCAGAATTGGGTCACAGAATGTCGCAGCCTTTGTTGCAGAAACAGTGGGGGGTTCGACTGCCGGATGCATCACGGCCCCTGAGGGCTACTTTGAGGGCGTGCGCCGTGTTTGTAACAAATATGGAGTGCTTCTTCTCCTCGACGAGATCATGTGCGGGAACGGCCGCACGGGTACCTACTTTGCGTTCGAGTCCGAGGGTGACTTCGTTCCCGATATTGTTGTTTTGGGCAAGGGACTCTCTGGCGGGTATTTGCCCTTGCAGGAACGCTCATCCAGCATTCTGTCTACGAAGTGATCCAAAGCGCGGGAGGCTTCATCCATGGGCACACCTACCAAGCACACCCTGTCAGCTGCGCCGCCGCTCTTGCTGTGCAGCGTGTCATACGAAGCACCGGCTGTCTGGCTCACTGCAAAAGGTTAGGCGACAGAATGGGCTCAAAGTTGCGCTCGTTGTTCACAGATCTCGAGTTTGTGGGAGACATTCGGGGCCGTGGCCTCTTCTGGGCTATCGAGTTCGTCGCGAACAAGCGGTTGAAGATGCCTTTGGCCGAGGACTTTGCATTTGGATCAAAGCTAAGACAGTTTGCGCAGGAGAGTGGTGTGGCTATACTGTCTGGAAGTGGCACCGCGGACGGTCACGCGGGTGATCACATAATGTTTGCTCCACCACTGACAATCGAGCAAGCAGAATTGGACTGGATGATTGATATCACAAGAGAGGCATATCTGAGGACCGAAAAGGCGTATAAAGCACAAAGATATTCAGGAGACGCCCAATAGAAGCGACCGGAGCTATCATGATTTCATGAAGTAATTCGTTCCAACTCGAAGTTGCAAGATTAAAGCTGCGAGATTGCGAAATTTAGAGAGTGCTTTTTCCATGTGTGACAAATGAGACCTGCGTTGGTGCCGGCTACTGGCTAACACAGTCTTCAGTGGCGACTGAGCGATTCATTGCTGCAATTCTCGGCTTGAAGACATGCTACGTACATCCAAAAAGCCAATTGAGACTGCCATGCATCCAAACGATTCATGATTCCCGCGACAGCTTATGCCGTTTCAAGGAAGTGTAGACCTAAGGCAGTCTAGCTCTATTGAGCAACAAGATGAAGTTGGTTTGCCACTCGACAAACTCGCGACGGTTCCGCCCGTTTTATTTCCGCCCTTTCACAAAGAAGGGTGATCGCTTTCAAGAACTCAGAATTATTTTTTAGAGTCAAGTAAGCATATTCAGCGCGCTGGTGTATAACGTACGCGATGGTATGACATGTACGCGTACCACCACTCCAGCCTTTCTTAGCAATGTTTATATCAGCCGATGACATTGGCGGGGTCAAGCTCAAAGCACATATTCAAAGTTCGTTTTGCCAAAAATAAATCCAAAATCCAATTTTTCTTGCCAATTTGTGTATGTAAATGGACTGAAGCTACGATATGCGGAAAGTATTCTTATTTGCGAGGTCGCTTCTGAGGTTGAAACGCTCGTTGCCGCCGTGACCCGTCCGAGCCACGACCAAGGTTCATGCAACTGAGATTGCAAATCTTTCCAAAGCAGCCGCTTTCTCTTCCTCAGTTGGCAGAGCGGCGGGTCGGTTGCCTGGAGCTGGTTGGCGCAAGAGAAACCGGGAGCACAGTGGTGTTGCCTGGCGCAAGCGATATGTATCGTGGGGTTGTTGTCGCTGGTTGTTGATTGAGGAAGTACAGAAGGGGGCTGTGGCGATTTGTGCCAATGAGAGCCTAGAAGCCGAGGGCTCAAGTCATAAAAATCCTAAGTGCCCCCGCGCTAAGACAGTAAGTAAGACCCCTGAAAGTAGCCATCTACCATCTATCCCTCGCCATAGCCTGGCCAATGTCTAGCGACGACGAAGACGAGATCCATGTACGCATTCACTCGCGATGTAGCGCGTGTGGCTTCCACTTTAAGCCTGGTGATGCTGTCTGCGCATGTGAGCCCCCTCTCCTGACCAGCCTTTCTCGCATGACGTGCTTTTTGACGATCAACGCTCTGCAGTCGCCGCTGGGGCATTCGGCCAGACCCGATTCCCGGACTTAGCATACTGTGATAATAAGCATGGCTACGACTGGTCCTTCTGCCGCTTTTCCGCCTGCCGGCTGTGCCGCGCTTCGCCCGCAAGCCTCACTGTGCACACGCTCTGCCTAAGATTGTTTCGATCCTGCCCCCCTGAAGACGGGGGTCGACGGCCAGGGCTGCGCGAGTTTCTGTTCGCGGCTGAGAGTGCCAGACCTTGGCGAGGGGCGCCTCCGCTGGACCTCGAACCCTTGGTTGAGTATCGCGAGGGTGCTCTGTTGGCCCGGTGGCCAAACCTGTCGCGTCTTCCGCCAGAGCTGCGGCTTTTAATATGGCGCTTTGCAGATGGTAGCCCACTGTGGTCTTCTTCTGCGATATATAATATATACTCTGCGTTGTCGGCATGTCACTCCGAGCCACTAGTAATGCGTCTCGCTGATGTCAACTGTTGGGCCCGTGGCGCCGTCGCGGAATGTGATCATGTCCCCACCCGCGGCCTTGTTCGTCTGACCTTCGACTATCGTGGCCTGCGTCGCGTCGAGAGATTAAAGGTGCGGCCTGCTGTGACAGGCGTCCGATCTGACTTTGCAGCATTCGTGATCGAGCCAGCCGAGGCTATAGCCGACGTCCGCATTACGTTTCAGGTAAGCCCAACTTTCAAGCAAACTATATGCCTTTGTCATCACTAACCATCATAGCTTGGCCTTGCCCAGCTGCAGTTGCCTACAGCGAAGAATTTTCATATTTGGGACACGCCTTGCCCGCCGCCTCCGCATCACTGTCAGTGGTCGCCTAGGTCTCTCTTTCCTAGCCATATTGGCACCATCTGCCTGCAAGGCTGCACAGGAGTCACGCTGTTCGTTTTAAATGGCTCGATCTATGCAGTCCACGCGCACACAGACCACACCCCTTCAGCTCAAGCCACGTTTAATACCTTATCTAGCAGGCTACAGAAATACGTATCATGGGTCTACGTCCCGGTTAAGGGTAGAATTACCAAGCTTGGCTTCAGTCAGGCTTCTGGACGGCCGAACGAGATGTTCCAAACGCAAAGTTTTTGGGTATGGCTAAGAAAATATATATCTTGAAATTTGCTCGCTTCGCTAATGGTTTTAACTAAAGTTACTTGTTCGACAGCCGACTAGTGGCGTGCTTGTGGGGGATTACCTCGTCGGAAGTCACGAACCAGACTTATACACTTTGGAGCAGCCTCTCCTATTATTCTACGATAAGCCATCGGACGACTGGCCGATCTCCCTTGTCGGTGCCTACTCGACGACTGCCATCTATCAGTTGCGCTATAACCCAATATCGATTAGAGCGTCGCGCTGGGCACAAGATTGGTCCTCGGCCACATTAGCGGGTGTTTCGATTCTGTGGATTTATTACGTCCCATACACCGAGGCATGTCGAGGTCTGGTGATAGAATATGACGACGGACAGTACGCTTTTTTGGGTCAGTGCAGAGTTGGTGTCGACCCAGCGGTTCAAATTACGAATCCAAAATACCTCTGCTTCAACAACCAAGCATATCGCACGCCGTACATCACTGCGGCCCAGACAGCAGTGAAAGTTTCGTGCAGCTCTTCTGGCTGCACTCACACGCACGGCCGAGACCAGTCACTTTGGAGTTGCTGTGAGATGAAAGGCGTCTTGACATTGTTAATACGAAACGGTCGCGCAGCTATGGTGTATGCAATAGATGATCGAAAGTCTGCGCAAGATTCTTAATGAGCCTTTCCTTTCCCTTTAGTCTTACTTTTGTCCCTTTCTTCGGTTATGAGAATAGGATTGCCATAGGTGTAGAAATTGTTCTTTGACAGCTTCGCAATGTACCCCTCATACTCGCTGCCGTCCTTCTTGACAAGAGTAGCTTTGCACCAATTTTCGCGGCGGACTCTGAACTCACTGCCGTCCTCAGCCTTGCAGGTGGTCAAGTCGGCCGAGACCTTCAGAACATGAATATTGTCGAATTCACACTCGCTAACCTTGAGTCCCGGATTGCCGCTGTGGCCGCTTATGGCCTGGTCGCTAGTGTGCCGCTCGAAAGGTCCTGCTGCGCGGTGGCTTGCGGGAGCTTGGATGTTCCAGAGAGCCCTGATTCCCTCGTGGTCAGGGGGATCCATCGATTTGACGTACTCAAATGCCCAGTTGAAATCCTGCTCGTACTCCTTGACGTCGCGGTAGGCCTTCTTATCGCCTGCCTCACCGTCTAGGGGATAGAATGGATCTAGCTCACGATCCTCTCGCCGGCAAACCCAGATCCGAAAGTTAGTGCCGTAATAGGTCAATACCCACACAGCTTGGATCCCATCACGCCACATTGGATTAAGCAGATGTACCTGGCTCAGCTGAATCGCCTGTCCCTCTACCTCGCTGATCTTCTTCGGGCCAGATTTTCCTTTTTTTGCCTGGCCAATCAATCGAAAGACCAACGCGCGCCGAGACGCGTTGAATTGCTGTATAGATAAGTCCATGCGGAGCTGACAATGGTCTTCCTTGGGCGGCACCTCAGTACCAATGATCCACTTGTCCTCATAGAAGATATACTTAGAGCAGTAGCGCAGTATGAAACGGTTTGCAGCCCACTCATCGTGTCTCTGGGCTTCTGAATGAAGATAATTAAGGATTGAATCCTTTTGAAAGATGGAAAGACTCATTGCTGCCGAAAAGAGTGTAGTAATGTATCAAGATGGTAGATAGTAATAGCAGGTCTGTGTAGATACAGCTTAGCTATAATTCGGTTTAGCATATAATTCAAGTTCAGCAGCACGTAGGACGAGGTGTGTTAGTTATATATCCTACAAGAGAGAGCTAGTATATCTTATGTACTGGTGTTTATAGTCTAGCATACAGTGATGACTAGTACACATGCATTAGCATATAGTCTATAGAAGCAAACGGGCTTGGCCGCGGCGTACATTCCTGCATCGTGCCGTGCCCCCTGAGCAATTCACTGAGCGATGCAAAAGACGAGTGCGTATCCGGAATCTCTTTCTTTTCAAATTCAAAGATGAAAAAGGGCCTGAATACGCCACCAGCCGACTGCTAGCAGCGTCGACGGGTGGGCAGTCCCTCAACTAGTGCTTTCCCGCGGTCTGTGGTACGTCAGGTCAGTGGATGGCTGCATCATTCAACCCATTGCAGCTTGATCTTCAGGATACCTGTACATGCTGGTATCTAGCTCGACGGTGCTATTCTAGGCGGGGTGTTATTAAGAGTGAAATTCTAAAGGATAGAGGAATATAGATACATTAGAGGCTGTGTAATTCATAGTATGTATAGAGGATCCGGCCTAGCGTAGGTTTTAGAGCTTATTCATCTGCATCCTTATTATGTATTCGCTTCATGTGGTCGCGGCAATTCCACTGTCTCGAGAAACCATTTCCCTCTTGAGCGCGCTCACAGCCCTTGTAGGAACAGAAGAATGGCTTTTGCCCATGGCCATAACAGCCATGTGCCTCTCGCTTATGACGGAGAAGGCAGGCATTAGAGGAAAAGCAAGAGTCCTCACAGCCGGCAACCGTACACCTATATGGCTTTAAGTGAGAGTCAATATGTCTACTGTAAATCCCCCCCTCTCGTTAGTATTTATCGTAATAGCGGCCGAATTATAGATGTCTTACTTGTAATTGCTTTTTAACTTCTCTGGCTTGTTGTTGCAGCCCTCGAATGGACAGTGAAATAGACCGTCATCGCTTCGCATAGTATTATAATGACTATAAGCTTTGCGTGGAGAGTCTAATTCAATAATGTTGCGCCGTTGGTACTGAGAAGTTGTAATACTCATCGAGCTCATGTCTTCAACAGCAAGAGTGCAGTCACCGTTCAGGCCAATATTGAACCCATTGCCGGGCCAGCAGATGAGTGAGCCTACACTTTCTGGCGTTTGCCACTCGTTTATATTGTGCATGGCGCCCATGGCCTGGACTGTTTCATCCTGGGAGGTTTGGCATACGTCCAGCATAGATCCGTTCAGCATGGATTCTAAATACTCAAATCCAGGCACTGTCAGTGGATATACCTCAGTAGAGGAAGTATCTAGGTTCTGTTCGGCGAGGAATGATGTGTCCAATCCTAGTTTCAATATGATTAGTATCATCTAACCATGTCCTGCAGGATGCCCCCGTCGGGTTGACAAACCTTCATCCGCAACATCCCCGATGCTATCCACAGAAGCTGTTGCCATTTTGAAAGGATTCCCACGTCCAGGGACTGACAGATAGGATTTCAAAGGCGTTCTCGAGCTTCCGCAGAGTGGTCGGACGAGGCAAAGCTGAGGGCGCGTAAAGGTACAGAAAGCCAAGTTCCTCGAGGCAGATGACAGAAGCTGAGATTAGATGTCTACCACAGAAGACGACGTATTAGATGTTGGGATAATAACTAAAGACGAGATATTCGAAGCTGGTGATGCTAAGGAAAGAGAGGGACGCGAATGTAGATATAGTTGGTCAATGTCAATGAACTGGCTGAGCCAGTGCCTTCTCAATTCCGCACCTGGCTCACAAAGGCTCTTATGCACAATCATAGTCTCACACAACGTCGAAGGCGGCTCTTTCCATTCGCTCCTTTCCTCCATCTTTTTTTCAATTCCCCTAAAAGAGGAAACTAGGCGTACGCAAAAAGTCGCGCAGCGTGCAGTAAGGTTATACCTGAAATCAGAACAAGGTCTACTTCGCTCACCCTTATACCGGCAAGGCGCAGTGCATTTTGGAGCCCAGTAGTCACACGCGGTTTGACGTGGTCAGGTTACTACTCTTGTCGCTGGGCATGCCGTTCATGCCATCCTGGACAGGAACAGGGTGGGACAGGTGCGAAGCTTCGGAGGGATTACGGATGGAGCATTTTTGGAAATGCCGCTTGAGAATATCAGTGCGATGAAAGGAGGTGTTGCACTTAGCACATTTGTACGGACGTTCGCCAGTGTCTGCGCAATGGGGTTAGCATAACGTCGCATCGGGCGTGGCAGGGGATTGGGAGAGCAAAACTCACGGTGCAGGAGATGGCGCTTTAGGTGCTGAATGTGGAGATAAGTCTTCGTGCAGTGAGGGCACGGGAACTTGCCGTTGGCGTCCCTGACCGGAATGACCGTGTTCTTTGTACCGGCGGCGGGAGCAGGAGGCCGCCCAGGCGCGCTGGGCAGAATGCCTCTGCGGCCCTGGGAGCCAACATCGTAAGTGGGCGGCATGGAACGTAGGACAGGAGGGCCACGGCCACCACTAGACGCGGGGGCGATGAGCTGCGGTTGCGAGGCAGCCATGGCAGCGGCAGCTATGACAGCGGCGGTCGTCATGGGCTGGGAAGTCCCATAGCCAGTGTGCGGCGACCAGAACTTCTGAGCGATTGAGTGTATGTCCCTTCGAGCGCTAGCCTGAGTGCTTTGAGGGTAGCTGGGCAGGTCATGCGCAGAGTTTGGCGTGTTAGGCGTTCCAGTGCGCGGGGTGTGCGGGTTGCTACCGTAGAGGTGCTGCATGGTGGTGATCGAAGAAGGCTGAAGCGGTCGCAGCATCTGTGGTAGAGGAGAATCTGGCTCACTGCAGTGAGGCGAAAAGGATACCGGCGACAGGTAGTCGTAAGGGTTGGAGATTCCATTTAAACCAACGGTGGAGTAGGGAGTGTTGTCCTCAGTGTATCGTGCGGCGTCTCTGCTATAGTTATCCTTAAGCGATGTGGCGTTAGCTGAGCTATCTTTCCGCGGTGCTTCTTCCGGTTGTGGCAGGTTTGTGATATCATAAGCACCACGAGGCATCTTTATTCCACTTATAGAAAAGGAAGAATATCTATCAGTGGCAGAAGGAGCGTGTAGATATATATCATTAAGTATATACGCTGCTAGCAATTCGTAGGTCTGAATATATGACAGCGGAGGACTTGAACGGTACGCAGTATTAGGGTGAGGATTCAGGAAGGCGCTTGATCGCCGCGGCTTCTGATAGCCTCTAGTATCTAGTCGAACTAGTCGATGCTAAGCAGGGAAGCATTGAAGTTAGAAGCAGATTCGAAGCCGGAGAGTCTGAATTAGGCGAGCAGGCGGGGTCTGTAGTTTGTGATATTTATTCGCCAAGCGTTTTTTTTTTTTTTG